GCCACACACACACACACACACACACACACACACACACACACACACACACACACACGGTGAAGTCTGGTCAGTTTTAGAAAGACCATTTTCCCACACTCGGAAGTCTGGACTCTGTAGTGAACTTTCCCAGTAAGAACTACGGCTAGGTTTTTTTTCCCCCAGTTTATATTTCAGTGCTTTCAAGGTTTAAATTTGGCAGTGAGCCATGATCTTCCGACCTCTGCTACATTTGAACAGGGGTTCCTAATAAAGTGCCGAGTGAATCAGTGAATCCTTTGAAGTTGTCAGATTACTTTTTATTTACTTGTTTATAGCTAAACAAGTAAATTGCTTCCATAGTGAACCCTGTGGTTGTATTATACCTTCCATGAAGCTGGTATTTTCTTCTGACTATGGCAAGTTCCTCCATTTTCCTTCCTATATTCCAAAAACAATCGACAGATTCCAGATCCCGGGTTTCACACTGAAGATCACTGTCACCAGGGGGTCTAAATTTATGGCAAATACCAAGAAAAAACCATAAGAACCAGCAATCTGTATTTAGAAGATAAATTTGAAAAAACAAAACAAAACCATCATCTCAACCTGCTGCTTCATACTTACAGCCAGCGTGAAAACTGGCTCCACTGATGTCTCCTTTGGTTGTTTCACATATTACATCACTCCAGTTTTCTGATTGTTGTTCCAGGTGGACAGTCAGGGCATGCACATGTTCACTGATCTTTTTTTCCATGCCTTTATACCCATTTACATACATTCTCCTGAAACCTTTTCCTTCTGGCACAATGCAGCAGAATGTGGCTCTGCTGCCTACTTCAAGTATTTTATCCTTTGGGAAAACTGATATTTCTGCTGGGCTTTGCATCCCTGCCAAACAACAACAATGAGGCATAATAAGCACAACTGTAAACTATGTAAGAATTATGAAAATCTAAATGATTTGAATTCAACATTAACCAGGTAGCGTCTTCTGCATCCATGGGCTTGATTGGTTGTTGTATTGGGACCTGAGCCGGACTGAATGGCGAGCACACTGCGATGGTAAATGGGAAGTCCATTTCCAGGAATGAGTAGATCCTATCTGTGCAGGTGCCACAACAACTTCACCCTACAACATTATCATAAACACATTAGAGGAACAGCTTTTTGTTTGGAGGCTACAGAAGTGAGGATTATAGTTACCCATAATAATCTCTTACATTGTGTTCAGGTTTGTCTGCTATGAGAAGCTGCAGCTCGTACACGAGCCCATCTCGTATCACAGAGCAAGAAGGGTCATCTTCCCACTTTAACAGGAAACTGTCGTAGTCAAGAGTCACATTCTGAGGTCCACAACGCAACACACCTAAAGGAGAAATTCCATGTTTAAAGTGGAACACTGAACGAGTCTTAAGCTTAAATACATAATTGTTGGGCTATTTGAACAGCAGTCAGTAAGGACACAGGATAGTGGTGCCAATAGCGTTACACTTTTCTCAGTACTGATGCTCTGTTAAAGCCTCTGGTTTCTAGTAATGTCACCTTTAGTGCTGTTACCTTTATCAGTGGCAATCCACTTCTTGGATCTGATACTACTAGTCATTTCCAAATCAAAATACTCCTTAAACTCATAAAATAAAACAAACACTGAGCCACCACTGCGAGTTAAAAACCAGTGTGGCTTTTCTCCTGGGTGCTACAATAAAGTTTAACACCCTTAAAAAATTACTGTACTGTATACGGTCCTTATATTCCCTGAAACAATATTTGCTCTTCTGCGAACCTAGAACTGGATCTAATATTTGAATCTGCAGCTTACTTTTTTTTTTTTTTGCACTTTTTCTCTCAGATCAATCTTCTGATTTAACTTGACAAGACTGCTCAAAGACATTTTATATCTATTAAAGGACGGTACCACAGACCTTTATGGCAGGTTAATTAAACCACTACTTAAAAAGCAGTCACTTGACCCAGCTAATTATTATAGGCCATTTTCTTTTTCAGAAATTCTTGAAAAAGGTTGTTAAACAGCTAATAATTTATCTGCAAAGGAACAGTTTATATGAAGAGTTTCAGGTAGGATTTAGAATTCATCACAGTGCAGAAGCTGCTAGGCTACTGCTGACAGTAACATTTTATCACAGGGATTAGAGCACGCTGTAGGTATTACAGGTACTACACTGCAGTGGTTTGAATTAGTGGTGTGCGGATCGATATTGAAATATCGATTCTTCCGATACCAGTAATTTATGTTCTAGAATCAATTCTCATATTAAAATATCGATATTTTAGTACTTTGGGGTAAATTTGTAGTTTTTCATTAACAGGAACAAAGTGGAAAGAAACTATATCATTCAGATCGTCTAAATTGGAAGGAACTATTTCCTCTTACGCCTTTCATAGTCATGTGCGAAACACAGCTGTATAAATGTGTCCAGCCCCTGGTGTGCGCACTCACAACAATGGCTGAGCATAAATGGAGTCATGTGTGGACGTATTTTACCTCCACAAACGGCCGAGGCGCGGTTTGCGATACATGTGGCAAGACAGTGACGTGTTGTGGCAACACCACTAACCTCGTCAAACACCTCAGAGTAAATCACATCACAGAATATAACGAGCTTATGTTGAGGTGAACTGAAGAGGAGGAGAGGGACAGGTGCTGCTAGGGCGAGACAGACGTCTCTCAGGGAGTCCTGAGAGACGTCTGTCTCTCAACATGTTCAAATAGGGCACAACTTCAGGTTTTTTATTTCTACATGATGATAGTCTGATGCCCTGCAATCATTATGAAGTTATATTATTATAATTACATAATACAATTATATATTGTATTATGAAATACAATGAAACATTACGTTTTTGTCCAGAGTATCGGTATCGGATCAGTATTGTTGATACCACCCTGACTTTTACTTCAATCAGTGGTATCTCACATCACTAGTTTGAATCATATCTATTTAACAGACTGCAGTCTGTTCGCGTAAATGGAGAGTCCTCTTTACACACTAATAATTATGGAGTTCCACAGGGTTCAGTGCTAGGACAAATTCTGTTTACATTATACATGCTTCCCTTATCATCAGAAGGCATAGCATACATTTTCACTGCAACTTTATCTGTCCATGAAGCCAGATAACATACGCAAATTAGTTAAACTGCATGAATGTTTTAAAGACCTGGATGGCCTCTAACTTTTTGCTTCTAAATTCAGATAAAACTGAGGTTATTGTACTTGGCCCTGAAAATATGGTAGCTAACCAGATGCTTGATCAGGATGGCATTACTTTGGCCTCCAGTAACACTGTGAGGAACCTTGGAGTTGTTTTTAACCAGGATATGTTTTGCAATGTGCATATTATAACACAAATATAACTAATTTGTAGGACTGCTTTATTCAATTTAGGCGATATCCCTAAAAACAGAAATATCCTGTCTCAGAGTGACGCTGAAAAACTAGTTCATGCATTAATTACTTCTAGGCTGGACTACTGTAATTCATTATTATCAGGATGTCTGACAGACTGACAGGGACTAGAATGAGAGAGCATATTTCTCCTATACTGACATCCCTTCATTGGCTTCCTGTTAAATCCAGAATTGAGTTCAAAATCCTGCTCCTCACATACAAGGTCTTGAATAATCAAACCCCATCTTATCTTAATGAGCTTATAGTACCATATCACCCCATTAAAGCACTTCAGGCTTACTTGTTGTTCCTAGAATATAGGATGGGAGGAAGGGCCTTCAGTTTTCAGGCCCCTCTTCTATGGAACCAGCTTCCAGTTTGGATTCACGAGACAAACATAATCTCTACTTTTAAGATTAGGCTTAAAACTTTATTTTTTACTAAAGCCTATAGTTAGGGCTGGATCAGGTGACCCTGAATTATCACCCAGTTATGCTGCAAGCTGCGGGACTTCCCATGATGCACTGAGTGTTTCTTCTTTAGACACCACGGTACATTAAATGCAGTACTTATTATTGTGTAGCTCTCTTCCGTAGAATATGTTTGTCCTGTCTTTCTGCCCTAACCCCCAAAGGTTGGGGTCATTTGCCTTGTTCTGTCACAGGTTTCGTCCTGACCAAAAGAGTTTTTTCTTTCCAGTGTCACCAAGTGCTTATTCATGAGGGAATTGGATTGGATTGAATTGAACTGAATATGAGTCTTTGTGGATCATCCATACACACTGATAACCTTCTTGTTCAAATGTGATTACTTCTGGTTTCAGCATGAACATGGTGATGGCCAAAATGCCGGAGTACAAAACTTGCTCTTATAGATTACATGGTGGCTCCATCAAACTTGTATCTGTGTCAGCTTGTTATGTGCTCACTGAAGTAGATTGACCTTAAGTAAATATAAACATCTCTTAACTCTTAATATGCTAAGCAATCTGACATAGCAATGTAGAGTTTTCTGGTTCTGTGTTAAACATCCATTCCTGTGCATCTTTTTGTTTTTAAATTCTTTGTGGGAGGAACTCAGAGGGCACAGGAAGTGTAAAACTGGGCAATGACAGCTCTGCTCTACTTCTGCACTTAAGATGTTATGCAAGAGAAGATGGGGAATTAGCATGTGATTGCCTGCATTAAGTGTAAGGATAAAAAGCAAGATAAAAAGAAAAGCCATGATGCAATCATGTGATGTTGTACAATCAATACAGCTAACTCATACTCATGATAGCAGCACAGTGTTAGGATGATGTGTAACTGGACACAGAGCAAGTCATATTATTTATAAAACATTTTCATGAATAATTCTCTAAAATCCAGCCACAGCACAAACAAGGTCAACAAGTTCACACAAACTAGTGAAAGTAATTACTAAATGATACCTCGGCTTTGTTCTTCAGCTCAGTGATGCTAGTTCAATGCAAACTGTGCATGATATCGATAACGCTATTACTCAAAGCCAACCAATTTTCTTTGGAATTCCTGAGGAAAATGATGATGAGGAAAATAATATAATTTACACACACATATAAAAATAGTTAAAGACAACATTTATAACACCCACTTATAATCAAATAATCTCAAATCACTCAATCAACGAGATGATGTAGACACACTCCAAAGTCCCTGAAAATGAGTTGCACCTCCACTGTTGCATGCTGATGTAAATTAAGCTTGACCAGTAAAAAAAGACTCCACATAAAAATGATCTTGTATGCACAGGCATCTGAAATCAATATTTCTTGGCTTTATTAAACATATCAGATACCTTTCATACCTGTAGATTATCAAAGGTAAGATGACGACATACTCACCGTTTTCTTGTCTATCTTGCGTACTTTTTCCGAAGAGTGAGAGCAATAACAACCATGCAATCATTATCATAATAATCGTGATGATCCTCTTGTGTAGAACTGTTTATTTCTTGACAGAAAAAACTGTCATGAATCAAGTCGAGTTGTTGTGATAGCTATGGCAATTAACATCCGCTCGAAGGTGGTTGAAAAGCAGATTTCCAAGGCTTCTTTCATCAAAGCAAAGACATTTACACAAGGAAGTTCGGGTTCTGTTTGAAGACTGACACAGACAGCAGGCAAATGTCACTGTCTGTGTCAGGTTACTTCCTGTAGCCTGCCTTCCTCCATAAACACAGTTTGGAAGTGCATTTGAGTTACACTGTTCTAAAAAATAGTAATGTCAAATTATTTTACTGTGTATTTTACAGTTGTGTACTGTTTTTCTAGAATATCATTACATTTACATAAGTAGACTGTGATCTGACACGTCAAATGTAAAATAACATAACATCACTGTAAATGTAATAAAACACAGTTTACTTGTTTTGTATATTGTATATAT